ATTTGTGTTTAGGGTCATAACCACTGAAATCCATATAATCCTTAATGTCATTAAAGTCATCATATACATCTTCGGTTTTAATATGTAATACAAAACTGTCAGTATCAGTATATAACATTCTGATATTATTTTTATATTTCGGTTTCATAATGTCATAGTAAAATGAATACATATGTTGTTTTGATAAATCTAAAATACTCATTCCTACATATATTGGTTTATTCAATTTAACTACACTTTTTGCTTTTTCAACTCCTATAAGATTTTCATTGATGATATGCCTGTATTTGAAATTAGGATTATTAACGCATTTTTGGTATCGTTCAGGTGTATCAACCAGCTCAAAGTCAATGTGTTCTCTCACATTTTCCATAGTCTTGCCGTATACAGCGTTGTTCATTAATTTGTACATATCTTTTGAAAAGTCACTTGTAGCGTTCTTTCGCTTCTCTGTGTTAAAGTCAATCCACGGTTTCAACCATTGCTTGTGTCTAAATTCTATTACTCTGTTTATTTTCTTGATTTTAAGTCCTTGTTTCAAATAGAATTTTAAAATGTCAATATGTAAAACATAATTTTGTTTATCCATAACATTTAGTATCAACTTGTTTGTTTTCTCATCTTTTGGAGCATGATTAAAATGATATGCTTTGTAGGTTTCTTTCTGATAATCACTAAGCATATCTGCTGATACACTCATAATTTCTGGTGCTAATGGGTAATCAGTATGTTTGTCGTGGCATTCTTTCGGATATTCTAAATCAACATCTAAAATATATCCTTTGCTACTGTAATCACTATTGTAATATTTAATGTCTTCTTCTGAGAAATTATCTTTTACAAACTTAATATTCTTATATGGTAGTTTCTTACACATTGCCAGACCATAAAGATTATTAGCATCTAAATAATTGATATAGGACGACGGCTTTGTTTCATCATAAGCATCTCCCATATACTTATTATTAGCAGTTGCTTTTCTCATTGAAACCTGACACATACCGCCTCTTAGTCCTTGCTCTATCATATTATAAAGATCTTCATCGTGTAAAAGTTCTAACTCAATTCCTGTTTTTAATAGCATCGCGTCCCAAGCAAAGTTAGGCAATGTGTAATAATGTGCTGGGTCTAATTCATAATCAGTTAGACATTGTTTTCTGAAATTCTCATATACATCTGTTAATAATAATACATCGGTTTCTAGATATAAATCATGATATTCACCAAGGTTTTTGATGTTAAAGTGCTTCCATATTAGTTTTGCTCTTTCATAGTCAGCATTGCTTATATCTTCTTCACTTAATCTACTATAAAAATGTTTCTTTTCTGGTAGTTCAGTGTCATTAAATTTATTGAAGTCATTACAATAATCATAAGGATAAACTCCCTTTTCTGTCAGTAAAAATAAATCTTTTTCATTTTTTTATGTATTTGCCTTTGAAACTGTATTTGAAATGATCCTGCCAGTTGTCCCTCAATTTATTCTCTTCATATTTTGTTAATTTAACAAGTTTATCTAATGATGATGACAAGAAACTGAAACTATCCTTAAATTCAAGTCTGTTTAATGAAAATGTAATAAACTTCTCACTGTTCTGTGCTATTACTGATATTTGTTCTTTCTTTGTGTTTAACTTTTCAAGATTTGATATTATTAGATGAGCATCATAGTTTTTAAGATTATGAAAGAATACTGGTACATGATACTTTTTAAAGCAATAGTCTATATTGCATTTCATATGCGCCGCTCCTCTGTATAATCCTGTGAAGTGGCAATGGTCGGCAACTTTCTTTTTCGCTTCTACTCTGTTGTCAAAAGCGCCATTGCATAAGAAACACTTTTTAGCTTCTAAATGTTTAATTTCATCTAAATCTGACATAATCATATCTTTTGGATTTTTCATTTGTTTCATTACATCGTCTCTAATATTGTTTAATGTATCACAAAATTTATCCATACAATCTTCGCCTCTATATAAAAATGGTTTCATTTCTCCACTATAAGCATTAACAAGGTTAAGCATATAACCGCTGGGTTTATGATTTTGGTATGTTCCCTTTATTCCATCTGATGTTTCTGTTGTTAAACATTCAAAATCACCGTAAATAACAAATGGCGCTTTCAGTTTCTTAAAATGCTTTTCAAACTTCATTGATGTTCCTTCTTCTGGCATTTTTGTTTGTTGAATGTCATTTGCCATACAACCTTTTATTAAGTGAGAATTTAAAAGTTTTTCTGTTGTAAAACCGTGTTGGCAGTATCTGCAACAAAAAGGTTTTCCTTTGTATTTATTAACTTGACTACCCATTAATCTATTATAATCTTTTATTAAAACATAATGTTCATTATCATCTTTTTCAATTCGTAATAGATTGATATGACAAGATGGTCTTTCAATCTTCGTTATTCTGTCTGCTCTGATGGTTTGGTTCTCATCTTCAACATAAACATTAACTGATATAGAATTTTGGTTAATTGTTTCAAATGTGTCAATGTCATCGTTGGATGCTGGAAAATTCACACCATCCCATTTAATTAGACTTTCAGTAGTTATTAATTTCTTGCAGTGTCTCATATGTTGTGGATGATCTTTCTTGAAGACTTCATAAAATTTACATAAAACACAATATTTAAAACATAATTCATCATCATTTTGAATGTTGATACATGCTTTTTTCTTTGAAATCCATTCTGGTAGTTCCATATATTTACCTGCCCTGTTCGGGTTGTATTTATCGTAGTGGATTGTGATTTTGTTAATCTTGTTAATCTTCAATCCTGAATGTTTCAAAGGTGAGTTTTCAATTTGTAGTTCAATATCTTTAGGTATATTTTCCAATGCTTTTTTCAAGTCTCCTACATTCAAAATGTTGTATCTCCTACTCCTCATATTGTGTTTTATTTGTATATTTTCCTCAGTTGGTTCGTCTTCTCCATCATCCTCTTCTTGCTGTCTAAGTTTATCAAAAATAACCTCAACATCAATCAGTAGTTTCATTGACTTTGCTTGTTGTAAAAACTCTGTTAGTTTCTTTTCTTGCCATAAAAGATATGTTAATCCTTTGTATCCCTTGAATGGTATGTTGGATATTGCATATGTGTTGGCATATCCTTTCAATGCCGAAAATGTCTCTGATGTTTTTGCTCCTATTTTTAATCTGTATTTTTGGATCGTTTTAATGCCTCTCATTGTGTTTGATGCTTTTTTTAGAAGATGAAATCGTTTGAAACCTTGTGTGTTGCTGACTTGATTGAGTTTGTTTTGAAGTGATGAGGATATTTGTTGTAATAGTATTCTTTGTTGTTGATGATTAGTTTTTTCAATGGTTTGTTATTCTTCCCTGTTTTTATTTGACCTTCATTATTGGATATTAAATATTCAATTACTGAACCCGTGCTGTATTCCCCTGCCATTTCTCTATACTATATATGGTATTTTCTCTTTAAGTATATTTGGGGGGCGGGTTGCTGGTGCGGGGTTGGTGGTTGAAACTATGAAACTCACAATTTCGGAACCTTGAAACACCCAATTTCGGAACTGTGAAACACCCAATTTCGGAACCTTGAAACACCCAATTTCGGAATTTCGGAACTGTGAAACACCCAATTTCGGAACCTTGAAACACCCAATTTCGGAATTTCGGAACTGTGAAACACCCAATTTCGGAACCTTGAAACACCCAATTTCGGGATTTCGAAACTGTGAAGCTCTGAATTTCAGAATGTTGAAACAATGAAAAGTAGTAATCCAAAATGCGCAGTTTTTTAAATTCAAAAACTGGATTTCTGAAACACCTTATGTCAAACCCCTGAAAATGAAAAGCGTTCAGTGTATTCATATTATTATCTTATAATATGAATAAACCCTTGTATCCCCCAGAAAGCTTAAAAATGGTCTGAAACCCGAACCTTGAAAATGTCAATATCTTAGACTGTTTCATAATGAAAAAATTGTAAAAAATGTTGAGAAAAATAGTTAAAAGAGTATGGAGTATAGAGTATATGGAGGAACATAATACGACAAATGAAAAGGAAACTAAACATAAGCAATATGATTGTCCTTGCTGTAAAATAATGATAGGACTTCATAATAGAGCGAGGCACGAAAGAACAAAACGACACAAGGACAATTTAATAACTGTTAAGGAAGAAACACAGACAGAAGAACCAAAGACAGAAAACAATTAAATGTAGAACCAGTTAATGATATTTTTGAACGGCTTGAATATATGACAATGATTGGTGGTGATTGTTTTTAATGTTATTATTTCAATATAATATGATTAAAACTAATTTTTTTTATAGAGTTAGTCATCTGTTGCAGTACTATTTTTTGGGGGTGAAAAATGTTGAAATGAATAAGGTGTTTAATTACTCTATACTCTATTATTTTACAAATTCCGGGGTTTAAAAAAACGAATAAGGTAAACTTAATTACCTCATTGAAAAACTGTAAATAATGAATAAGGTTGCCATTGCTTGACTTATTGAAAATGAAAAAAATGTAAAATATATATTAAAAACAACACAGGCGAGCAAATACTGAACAAATGATAAAACAAATAAGTCGGACAACTCCCTAGAAATGTTAGGAGAAAATATTAAAACATGTGAAAAAACAAAGCAACCGGCCACCCCCAGGGCCCCTATTATAACCATTTTTTTCCCCCGCCCCCCCCCCCCCGCCCCCCCCCCCCCCCCCCCAACGGCTTCGGTCTTTTGGTTTCCCTCTACAACCATCCAGAAAGGGGTGCCTCAACAAAACGACACACCCACATACCCCTCCGAGCAAACGACTACGAAATCCTCAAGGACCTTGGGCAAGGTGCGGGGCCATGCCATGGACCCCAGACCCCCTTTTCTTGGAGTTCCTAAAGACCAGGCCTCGAAAAAGCGCCAAGAAACAACCACTGCGTTTTGCAAAGTCTGTAAAGATGAGTTATAACCCTCCAAAAACATGTCTTGACGCCTTGACCCCCAAAGCGATGCGCCGTTTGAGGCCAAGCGGCCGCGACTGGGCTGAGCAAAGGTCTTGACCAGCGAGCGCTCGCGACTCGAGCAGCGCCAGCGCCAAAGCTGCGAGAATTCGGGGATCCCAAACTGATTCCAGGGCAATAGGTTTTTGAAAATGGTTTCTTTGTCGTGAACACCCTTACGAATGATTGGTGGAAAGTGTCCCTAGATATGCACAGCCAAATGGTTAAGATGTTGTCATGCTCTCACCGGATTTGGTTGACGCTGCTTCCGAAGTTGAGACGGTGCCGCTTGGAAAAGGGGCGTTTGTTGGGACACGATCAGCATGTCTGGGGGGAAACTGGAGCCTGCTTTAGGGGCAAACAAATCACAGTCTTGTAGTGTACTTCCAAACGTCTTTTGCAGTTGACTTGTTTTGTAGTGTACTTCCTCACATTGTTTTGCGTGTTAAAGTGCCAAACTGGCGTTTCAGCAGAGGGACACCTACAAAGTCCGGGTGAATAGCAACTTGGGTGTCCAGCAACCTGGTCCATGCGATGGATGGTTGCCTGTTATGGTTTTTAGGGGGGCAAATTGTTGCTTTCAGTTTTTGAGTTTTCCTTTTGAGCCCACCTGGAAAGAGTACCCTGACCAAACACACCCATCTGAGGGTCAGTGAACTTTCATGTTCAGACAGGCTGAGTTGTCTCCAGTTCCTCGATTCCCGTGCGACGGGACGGATTCGGACAAAGAAAGCTATGGGATCGATGCGCGAACCCTGGGGGTGGCCTGGCGATTCGGTTGGAGGGGAATTGCTCCGCGCGCCTAGTTTTTGAAGGCTCTAAACGGAAAGTCATGTGGAGGGTCCCTTGAAACACATGTCCCCCTCTCAGCAAACCCAGTGAGTGGGCGGATCCGATTGGTTGTGACTTGCACGTAACATGGAATGAGGTATGTCGTATAAGGGGCGAAATGACTGCGTTTGTAAGAACCCTGCAGCCCCAATCTAGTTTTATTGCGCTGCCCGCCTCGGCCGGTATTCTTGTGGTTGGCTTTGAGGTACTGTATTTTTGCTTTCCTTGAAGTGTTGTGTTTGTTTGAGTGAGTGAGTCGGCGCCGAAATGCGTGAGCTGGTTTCCAAGATGTATGGTGGGTGCATGTTCGCGCGTTCTGAGGCAAGGGGCCGGGCTAGAATGGGCTATTGGGCTGGGCAGTGCCAGCAATTGGGCGGTTTAGGGATTTGGCGGCTTTCTAGGGGGAGATTTGACGGGGGAATTTGGTTCTAGGGACAAGCTGATGGGTTTAAGGTCCGACCAGCATCAAGCGTTGTTCCTTGCGGCGCAAAGTTTGAGGTTGGTTTCTTGGCGCCGCCGAGCCTATATGGGACAGGAGCTAGCAACTCTGTCAGCTTTTTGTTGGGAGGTCCATACAATATTTTCAGTCGGCAGTGGGCGAAGTATGTGAATTCCCTCGAGAAACTGTCTTCTCACACAACGTCAAGGCTCAAGACAGTTGCCTCTATCAAATCAATTTTCTTGAGGTTGTCCAAGGTAACCTGTTGTTTCCTTTTGTTGGATGGGTTTCCTTTCGAAGTCAAGCAAGACGCCTTTGCACCTCCGCAGTAACCCTTTGTACGGGTGGCATGAGTCTCGGAGACTTTTGGTTGATGCCGCACATGTTGCAATGTGGAACCCATGCTACTTGTCATACATCATTTGCTATCTAAGGGTCTGAGCCGCCAATTCTTTCACGCATGCTTTTCCAGATCCGGCGAACATGCCCGGGCAGAAAGATACAGAATGGGCGGGATGCATTTGTGACCCCAACTTGAGAAGCAAAGTCAAAGGAGACTTGTGGGCGGTTCGTTTGGGTCCGATCGGAATCTTGTGGGATGCTGCCGTAGTCCGGACGCCTTTCATGATGTCATAACGGGCGCATCCGCTTTGGGGACATCTGGGAAGGATTGGGTTTCTTTGATGCGACAATGGGCTGAAAGAGCCAGAGGCCTCAATAGATTTAATTTTGGGTGGCAAAATCTCCCGACCTTTGTACTTGTTGGGAAAACTAATAATGGCAAATAACAGGTTGAGAGTTTTTGGCGACTCCACTCAGACAACCACCATCCAGAGATTCAAGCGAACCATGACCCACACAAGCTCTTCCGTCACTCGTTTGATTCGCCGGCCGCAGGCTTGCCTTTCGCTTTTGGAACTCGGGTACAGTGAATTGAATGGGGGGGAGTGAAACAACATGAACTGCGTGTTTCATCCCCTGCATATGTTTGGGAAGCACGGGAAAATCAGCAGTTTAGTCACGTGCTCAGCAAGACTCAGCGCCGCCACCTGTTTCGCGGCGCCTTTCGTGCCATGGCACTGAGATAAATTGGGAGGCGGGGGAGCCGTCATGGGGCCGCTCGGGTCATCCGCGAGCTTGTCATCTCAGGGGGATGTTTGGATGTTTGCAAGGCTTGATGCCTTTTCGGCGCTGAGTTGAAACACGAATTCTTATTACTTTATCTGATGTTGGAACGCACGGACTGCCCCATGGTTCGCGAAACATTCGAGAAATATTGCCATGCACACAACACACAAGCTGATATGGTCAACTGCGACGGATGGTTGCGCTTGATTCTGTAGCAGCACTGAGCCAACTTCGTCAGCTGGTCGCATGATTGCTGATATTGAGTATATAGTAATACATGTTGATATTGACGAGCAACGTGGATTCTATAATATTCAACGGCCGAATATTTGCCAACATGTGACCTGTCAACATGACTTGACTTGGCTTTCAGGTACCCCACACCCCGTTCCGGTTCTTGAAACCCTTGGAGCAACGCGGGTCTTCTCACCATGAAGTTTTCACCGGGTGCCTCACTGGCTCGCTCGCTCGCCATGAGGCTGCTTTTTCGGGGCCTGATCTTATTTTCTCTTTTCGGGCTCCTTGACGACCCAAAAGGGCAGTTCAAGAAGTAGAATGGGGTTGTGGGCTACTCCAAGTCCAAATTGAATCATGAGCATAGCAGAATGATGTGCGTGACTCTGAGCTGGAAACACCCAAAGCAGAATTTCAGACAGGTTGGATCATTTCCTTGCACTAGAGCTGTACTCGGATGGACGAAATCCTGCACCAATTTGGGCTTTCTCCATCCCAACTGGTGCAGGATTTTGCATTCGTTTGGCTTCCGGGCAAAGTGCGCTGAGAATGAGCCATTCGCATTGAGTTCGATCACTTAGGGAACCCTCCAGGTTTCTTTGGTTTCCTTTTGAAGTCTCCCGTTTTTGGAGACACTACCATTTCTTCCTTTGGCATCCAAGTAGCACACCTGTGCCTTAGGCTGGAGACCATGGACGTTTCCGCGAATGCCAGGGGCCGAGTGAGCCGAACGTGCGTATCCCAACTCAAGGCCCCCTCCCCCCGTTTTGGTGGGAATGTGTCACAAGCACCTCCCCCCCCAAGAAAAAGAGAGCAAAGGAGAGGCAGGATTCATGTTGGTGTCCTCATGAAACAAACCCAACAGCAAACAGCAGTGTGGGCCAAAAAGGTAGGTCTTTCATGTTGGTACCCTCATGAAACAATTCCAACAGCAAACAGGCTGTGTGGGTTGGTATCCTCATGAATTGAATCAAAGAGGTCCCTGGGTTTGACATATATCCATGTCAGCAGTGATGCTCTTGAAAACCAATGCTCCATGGCATGTTTGGTCCGTTTTCACTCTTTATCTAAATGGTCAGGTCGCTCCTCGTTTGTGGAGCGGGTACGCATTGTCCAAGAGATGGCAGTGAATCAGGCTTGAAAGTTTGTTGCAAGACTGCGACAGCTTTTCCGAGGCACGGGAAAACAATATACGAGCGCCTTTTGTTACCTTGGAGTTATTTGGGAGTTTGCTGCCTTGCATTGTTTCGCAGGACTGGTTGGACTGACATTTTAGAGCATTGATGTTTCCGGGCTGGCATTTGGGACAGCAACGCTGAATGATTCTACTAGTTAGGGGTGTAGCATATACTGCATCTGCACGAGACGTCCATAGACGCCAGAAGAGCATGCTCCAAAAGGGTCTGCACGCAAAGAAAGATCGGCCCCAGCAACGGTTTCCACAGCTATCTTCTGTAGACCCCTGGTTCATTGAGTAAATTGATTGAAACACTTTGAGCGGGGTCCTTTTATAGGCACTGCCATGTCACCTGGCCCCATAGGAACTTGAGGCCCAGTTGGTTCCGGAATATTTGCGGCATTGTCAAAGCGCGGGAAGATGCTTGACTTGTGGCTTGCCAGCCGTGTCCAGCTCTGGCGAGTTTCCTCTGTATTGCAGAAAGGATCCACTCAGAAACGACCAATGGACATAGGGATGACGCGCTTCAGAGTCGCAGAAAGGACACACTTCTGGATGCAGATGGGTATGAGGTTCACCCTGTTCCAGATGTATTTGACGAATACCACTGATGCCCCGCACATTGCAATTCAGTTGCAGCCATAGACTTTGCGTGGCTGGTTTGCCTGCGCCTCGCTTAAGCTTTCAGATATGTCACACACACAGCAAGTGAGGCGTTGGATTCACTGACTGATTGACTGCAGGCCTCCACTTCCCCCCGGGAGCTCAAGACGGGGTCTGCCCAGCAGATATTGAGACCGGAGGGAAAACCGGGGCCGGAACTGGTGTCTGGCGAAAAGGGGCGATCCACCCGAGACATGGTCGCGGGAAGCAGGATGGTAAGGTCACTTTCTGTGATGCGAGGATACCCTTCAAAGTGATAAAGTAGTTAGTCATGGTGGTGGCCCTGTTATTTGCCAAAGCCATGACCCTGCAAGCAACTGGGCCGTCAAAAGACCCCTTTGGGTTGGTGAAGGGATTTTGGACAAACCGCAAGTAAGGATTCCTATTGAGGGAACAATGACCATGGCCCACATTCCGACCTTGGCGAAAATGTTAAGGCTATCAAGTGGACCATGCGTGATGTTGAGCGTCAAGCCACCGGAAGCACGAGTGGGTGCAACTCGCATTTGATTCCTCTAACGGAGGGTGCAAAGGTTAATATCACCCCAGGTGAGACCGCAAAGGAGCATGTCCAGAACTCTAGTGGGCAAAGAAGCCAAAGGCTAAAATGGTTTGACATGTGGATGCCAAGCATTTTCCAAGTTTCCTGACATCAAGATCTCC